TTCTTTTTGTAAATTGGGATATAGGTAAAAATGTTTATATATTTAAAATATAACAAGTATTCGAAAAATTTAATAAAATATTCAAATATTTTTGAAGAAATTATAAAAAAAACTCATTTATTAAAAAAGTATCTTAAATTTACAGTATACGTCATATTTTAAAATAAATATTACTAGATGATTTCAATAAATATATAAATATGTATTAAATTTATGGAAAGAACATAAACACTAAAAATTTTGTCTGATAGCATGTGTGGATTTTTATACTTATTTAAATTTAGCCATCTACTTTTCTATTAGTTAAAAAGGATTAGATTGAGTCATAAAAACCACTAAATAGAAAAGTAGAGACTATACAGTTGTGGTGGCGACAATGATAGAATTGTGAAAAAACTATCGTTAAGATTGCATAGAAAAAAAGGACTTCTTTGGAATTATTGGGTGACCATAACTTTATTCGATAATTATTTGTTACAGAAATTGTAACTTTTGAAAAAGAAAGTATGGAAGCGGAACCTTTAGAACTTGAAGATGGTGAAGTTATAGACGATGAGGTGAAATATTGTATAATTTCATATTTGACAGGAGTCTAACCTATTTTAACCATAAAGACATTGTGTTTCAATATTAAAATTCATAGTTGAATTAAAATTATTTTAGTTAAAATATATTATTTGAGTGAAATTATTTTTTTACTCTTTATACTTATAATATGTTACTTTTATAGAATATGTTTTAAAAATCAAATGATAAAGTTATTTTTATAATGATAAAATAAATTTATTAATTATTGTAATATATTTTTATTTAGGCAAACGATATCGAAACGTATAATGTTCTGGAAAGACCTCATGCAATTCCAAATAAAGAAGAAAATGTAAGAATGGGTTACAGTGATGAGTCTGATGATTCTGCAGATTCTGAAAGTGACTCTGATTCAGATTCTGAACATATCAAAAGTAAAAGACCTAAATTAAAACTAAAACGATCTAGAAGTATGACAAAAAATTGGGGGGATAGAAATGATAAATATAAAATATGGTGTACTCAGTTACAAGAAGAATCTTTAACAGAAGATTTAGTCTTATGTGGTGTAACAAAAAAATGGAATCAAGAGCGTAGTGTTGAGAGTTATAACATTCCACACCATTATTCTTTTAATGGTACTTGGAATATGGAGCATCGTAATAATAATAGTTCAGAAGATGAAAAAGACAATGAAAAAAGACTAACAAATAAAAGAACAAATTCAGATAGAAGTAATGTTAAATTGAGATTAGGAAAAAAGCGTAATTCAATGGATATAGATAATCAAAAAGGAAATGCACGAAAAATCGCAGATTTAAGTACAACAATTGAATCAACTGATGCAGATGTAGCTACTGATATAACATCAAAACTTAGTGAGAAAAAATCTCTTCTTATAAGTAAGAAATTTATTTTGATATTAAAGTAAAATATGTATGCGTATAATTATCTAAATCTTTATATCTTATAGGAAGGATTGTAAATATAATTGGTAAAGAAAAAGCTATTGATTTTTTTCAAAAAACCAAGAAGATTGAAGAAGGAGGTGGTCTTTTAATAATGAATGGCTCTAGAAGAAGAACTGCAGGAGGTGTATATTTATGGTTAGTAAAAAATGATAAACACATCCCTCAAGAAAAAATACAAGAGATTTTTTATTATGATAAAAAAAAACATGCTGAGCAAAGAAAAGCTGATGCTGTTGCAAGAAGACAGAAAGCACAAGAACTAATAAAATGTTTAGAAAGTAAGTTACCTTGATATATAATAATAATGATTTTTTATAAATATAAATTTAACAAAAATATTTTTAATATGTATAGATGGTTCTGAGAAAGATCTTCCTGCTTTATTAACTAAGGCAGAACTTTCTACTAGAGAAATAGCAGAAGAAGCAAGATTGAGGCGTGGAGAAGGCATGGATAGAATGCCAGTTGATTCTGATCGAACAATGACTAATCCACCACCTAGCCCTGTAACAGATGATCCAGATCATTCAGAGCATCCACTTGTACAAAGGCATGTTCAAAACTTTGAAGATGATTTCCTTGATATTGGAATAGACATAGACAATATGGAAGTATTTTAAAATATTATAATTTCTTTGTAATATGTATTGCGCAGATAATTTGTACAAAACCAAGTTCTAATCTTTACAAAATATCTAAACACATACATTATGTGAATACAATTTACATAATTTGTACGATTGCCTACAATATACATAGATAAAAATCATTGGTGTGATCAAATAATGATCAGTCCAAATTATTGCAACGACGTTCCATATTGTGATAAAATAATTTATCAAGTGTACATATTATGGTAACATACTTTGTTATTTTCTCAGACTTTGAAAAACAAAAAATATTTGTATACTCTTTTCTTATGTTTCATTTAACATGTTTGTATTTATTATTAAGATGGATGTAAAAAAATGTAAGAGACGTAACAAGTATGAAGTTTCATAGAAATTACGTTAACATAACATATAAATACTCATGTTACCGCATTTTTATGAAATTTTCATCGTTGAAGATTATTTATGTACATAAAAGTCACTGTGAAAATAAATATTAGACTATTTGTACTTTGTATAATATAATGAATGAATTATCTCATATATAAAATTTTACTTCGTATATTACATGACAATTTAATTTTTTCAGTTATCAGTGTTACAAAATATATAAATTTATGGAATATTACAATGTTTTGATCTCGGTTAAAATTTGTTTAAATGTTGCAACAATTAAATACTTAAATAATAATTTAGTTACTTCATTATTAAAATAAATTAAGTTTAGTTAAGTAATTAACTATTTACTTATATTAGAAAAATCACGTAAAATAAGACTGAATTATTTAAAACTTTTACATAAACCTTAAAAATTATAATTTTGTGTTAAATTTAGGATATGACCATCATACAATTCTAAATTTAATAATATTTTTTTTACGAAATTATTATCCTAATCGTTATTATTTCTTTATGATTTCATATTTCAATAATAAAATTTCACGCATATATTTTACATATTTGTTATAAAATTATAGAATATAGGGAGAACAAGGGTTTAAACATTTGTATAGATTTTGGAAAGATAAATAGATGACTTTATTTTTCAAAATTATTTTTGTAAGTAAATACAGAATTTTGAACAATAGTTACATGTAAGTATACAAAATAAACGATTAATATTATTTCATATACATACTATATTTATTCTTTTATATAATATATTGAAATACATAATTATTATAATACAATACAACAAGAAATAATCCTGGAATTAATTTAATAAGTAATCTTTTAATCATAAATCATTGAAGTAATATTTCACAGATTCTAATAAATATGGTTATTACAAGATTTGTAAAGAAAATCCTTTTATAAACAAATTTTATGTGTCTGCTGTATACATAAATATATATATATATATAATTTGTGTAACATAATAACAAACTGTTCCATGCATTATACATGTAAAACATTTAATAATAGTTTAAAAAATAGTTTTTCATAAACCTATTTCATTCATTTCTATAAGTTATTTTATAAAATTAAAGGTAATATGATATAATTTATACAGCTTTATAATTTATAACTTATGAGTATCATACTTCTTGTAGAATATTTTAATATTATGTTTAAATACAAGCTTATGAAATGTTTTATAAATTATGATGCAATATAATCAATTATTATTTTTGTCTTCTAAAAAATTCAAATTCATTAGATAATGTTTAAATAAAATTAAAAAATTCAGATTATTACTATAACTGATATGTTCCATATGCTGTCATTCTTTGTTAAAGATTTTATAAATAAATACATCGTATTATATTTATTTATAATTTTCAATGCAAAGTTATTTATATAACCGATGAAAACAAATCTATAGTTTAAATTATAATTAAATAAATTATATTATATAACTTACTTTTAATTAACAAAATATATTTTTATATTTTCATTATTATTACATATTTAAGTATATAATATTTCATAAGGACATTGTCTATTTACATATACTTATTGAATAAGATCTTGAAACAAGTTTTAAGAATATTATTCTTTTTTTAAGTAAAATAATATTACATCATTTTTTCTAATAAAGAGAGAAGAATGTCACACCTTTTTTTAACCTACGAAAAGATATTATTTAAATACATATGTCGAAAATAGATATGAAATAATATTATAAAAACTTACTTGATTTATTGTACGATTTCCTAATGTTTTACTAACCATAACCAGTGAATTTTCAGAATATTCTTTTTTAATAGCTTGCAACAGAATCATATCTTCTTGTCGTGTCCATGATTTAGTGTTTAAGTCAATATCATTTTTTGTTTCATCAGATGAATCAACTTTATTTCCATTATCACTTGTCATTTCAAGTTCGACATCTGATGTATTTTTTACTGCTATTTCTTTAATAGAATTTTTATCATCAATAAATACACATTCATTTGATTTCATGTGAGTGGTAGCATTTGAATCTATGTACTCTAGTTTTGCTTCTTTGTCATTTTTTTTCTCTTTTTTATTCTTACATTGGGATATACGCATTTTTTTTGAATTTCTGTTCATATGATTGATTTCACTTCCAGATCTTTTTAAATTTTTCTTTTGTTCTGTAGATTTTGATGGAGACTTTATAGTTTTTTTAGACTTCATAATTAATTTTTCTCCTTCTTCATTTTCTTTGGAAGGTGAATTTTTAGATACACAAGATTTCTGATACTGTTCATCAGCATGAAATTCATTTTTTGAAGACTTTCTTCGTTGTTTAGATGAAATAGATGAAGAAAATTTATCAGTAGTTTTTAAAGATACACGAGCAATATTCTCCAATTTTTCTTCATCAGCTCCAGGAAAAATAATTTTAGCAGGTCTTAAACCTTCTGATGTTTGGAGGTAAATTTTTCCATTGAGGAACTGTGTAACCAAATTTTGTTAAATATAAATAAAAAATTTGTATGTTAGAAACATATTAAACAATTTCATATAATACACGTGAAAATATTAATTTTTATTTAAAGAAATATATTAATGAGCATTTAATCTATGTATTTATTACTTATAATTCATTTTTATACTTTATTTTTACTTGTGGGATGTATTTAAGATTATTCCACAAAATAAATAAAGAAAAATATAACATACCCTTGTGCCACAAGATACACAATGTTCAGAAATATTTTTACATTTGGATTCATCATTATTATGACAATTGCATTTACAATTTTCTCCACCATAAGGATCTTCTTGAAATGCTAATACAGGTAATTCTATATTTTCATATAATTCAGGTGCATCTTCAGTATAAAGTTTATTTTTATCATGTGGTCCTACTGGGCAAGTTAAGTTCTCAAACATATGTGACGCAAACAAACTAGAAAATAATGAAGTGTACAGTTAAATACCTATAACCTAATTTCTAGTAGCTTTAAAAGTTCTAATATGTAGTTACTAATAACATTATTATCTGCATTACCTTTCTGGCGGTTTGGCAGTAGGTAATATTTGTAAAAATAAATCCATAACTAAAGGATGTCCTTTGAGTATGGGGCTCATGGTTGTATGAACATGTTCTAATGTTATCTGTGGATCAGATGAAAGTTGTGCAATAGCTTGCATCATTTTTGCTATTCGAGAAGGTTGCTTAGCAAAATATATTTGAGCTACATTAACAAATTCACTCATCTTTTGAAGCATTACATATTCCACTGATTTATTTATCATTGCCGCTTGATGTGGTTTCAAAAACAGTAAAAAGTCTGTACAAAGCTCAGGATATTCTCGCAATTTTTTACATACATCTTGATACAAATTAATTGTCATTGCATCTTTATCTTTTGCAGTATTTTCCATAATTTGTTTATTTTGTAGAGATCTTAATGGATTAGAAAACGATAATTCGTTTTCTATCTGATTGATACTATCTAATTTTTCACAATAATCTAAATATAATTTTACCACAGATCGTAATGTTTCTGGATTATTAAATTCTAATGTCAAATGTAATTTTTGAAGATATGATGCTGCAAATTCTATATAAAATAATATAAGTCAATGATATTAAGTTTGAATATGTTAAAATTATTACATAGACACGTACTCGAACCTCTTTCTTCCTCATTTAGTGGATTTTCAGACTCTAAAAGCCTTTTAATATTTTCTAGTTCTCTAGCTTCCTTAGCTTTTTTTCTACTAATAGAATCTTTTTTAATAGTTGTACTAGCTAACATTAATTCTGCTATTTCATCTTCATTATCCTGAAATGAGGTATAATGCATAAAAAATGTTCATTTAATTTTACTAAAATAGATAATTTTACTCACAATTTTAGGCAGAGCTGATATTTTCTCCAAAGTTTTATCTAACTCATTTTTTTCTCTAGACTTCAAAGTATTGCAATTGTTTGATAAACCCTTTGGTCCTAAAACTTGAGCCATTAATTTCATATTTTGAGCACTTCTTGTTTTTGCTAATCTGGGTGTAGTTTTTCGTAATTGTGGTAATTCTTGAACTATTTCAGAAGACTTTCTAGAAAACTTTGGATGCTTAGATGTACTTAAGTTTGTAGATGCATCATTCTGAACTTGTTTTGAATCATCTACTTTTTTTTCTTTTTCTTCTTGCATAGTTATAACTTTTAAAGAATTATTAAAATGTGGTATATGGTCTTTAATTGACATATCAGAATGATGTAATTCAATATTGCTTCCATTATTTAATATATTTTTCATAATTTCAGAATTAGTGTTTTCAGTTGTAGATAAATTATCATTTAATGTGCTTTTATTTGTTATCTTCTGATTTGTAGTAGCAGGTAATATTTTTGATACTATATTAACTGGTGGATTACGTGAGAAATGAGTATTACAAGCAGTAACTTGGTTCTTTTTTCCATTTGTAAAACAATCTTTCTTCATAATATCATTATATGAATTAAGTATATGTTTTTGCTTTAATACATCAATTTTCTGCTCTGTCTGTATAAACAAACATAATAGAATAAAAATAAGTAGTAATAACAATATAATACAAAAGATAAATTGAACATTATACATTTTTATATAGTCATAAATATTTTGTATTAAATATTTACATTATTAAGATAAGTCTGCCACACTAAAGGTAAAAGATTTATTGGTTGATCTTTGGGAGCTTTGAGATCACATTCCAATGTTATATAATGTATTGTTCTAGGAGCACAACATTTTTCAAAGTAATGCTGTAAAAATATTTATTTATCAAGTTTTGTTATATACAATATGTGTGTAGGTGAGTGCATGCGCACATACTCGTGTATTTGTTCAGTGAATATCATTTAATACATATATTGCTTATGTATATATTACTTACTTTTATTGGATTTGCATCTTTTGCGTTTCGACGTTTTTGTATGTGATGTAATAATCCTTGAGGTTCTCTGCATGGTACTAAATATTGAATAATTAATTGTGCTGCATCTATTAATTGAAGTTTTTTACTTTTAAATTTTCTTGGTCTGGATGTAACAAAAGGAAGGAACTGTTCTAAACCTAATGCAATTAAACTGAAAAAAATAGATTTCTATGAAACACACGCTTTTTTATGATATATGCCATTTACCTACCTTTCTTCAGATTTTAGATATGGAGATCGCATAAATTTATTTAACTCATTTCTGAATGGCACTTCAGGCAAGAGTTGTGGATACATTAAAGCCTTACTTTCCATAAATAACTTCTTTAATTCCGGGTGAAATTTAGGAATATATTTCCACTTATTTGTAAGATATATTTTCTTTACCATATCCTCATCAGCAATAGCTTTTTTAAAATCTTCCGAAAATTTGTTATCCAAGAATTTACTTTCCCAATCAGATACTAATTTTAAAGCATCTGGTAAATTTACTACATTGTATGCAGAATTAGGTCCATTACTTAAATATCTAATACAAATAATATAAGTAATATAAAGTTAATATATTTACATTATATATTCATAATTGATAATTCTTTACTTATTAACATACCTTATACTATTTAAATTTTGTTTACATATTTTCGATTGTGAATGTAAATCTAGGTTCATATAAGTCATAGCAAAATGTTGTACCATTAATTGTATATGCTGACGAAATTGAACAGCTAATAACTCTCGTTGATTCGGATTTATTAAATTGGGAAGTTCAGGTTCTTTGTAAGGAGGTAATAAATCTGTTACAGAACAATACTAAACTCCACAATTAAAATTGTAGTAAAATTGTATGTTTAACTAAAATATAAAAGTTATATTGTTGCCTTACCATCATATTGTTTTCAATTGAAGAATTTGTATTTTCTGGAGATTTTCTCTTCTTTGAAATTTCTTGTTCCTGTTTTGAAAAAGTATCTGTAAATTCAAATAATTCTGCAATCAAGTTATTTAATTCTTTACGTGTAACTTTAACAGCTTTATCAGCCCGTAACTCTTCTTTATCCACTGTAAATATATTATTTAATTTATTCTAATAATCTATAAAGTTTAAGAAATTTACAATATATATTTATTACACATACAAAAGTCTGTTTCTTCGTCCTCTAAAATATTATATTCTGGATCTGCCTCTGGATCATCTTCTACTATAGGTTCTTGAGTTAGTGGCTGAGTAAATTCTTTTAAAAAATTATCCCAATCTTCATCTACTTCACAGTCCCAATCATACATATCAGTAGTTATATCTGGTGGAATAAATGCCTGCTCAATTTGTTCCAAAGGTGTTTCACTTAAACAAAGTTTTGAACGTGTTCTTTGACCAATATTCTCTTCTTCTGTTGGAACATAAGGAATACTAAAATAAAATAATTTTAAAGTCACTAGAATTCTATGAAGTCAAGTATTATTTATATTATCTAAAAATATTGAATTTTAATTTACCCAGGAATTTTAAAAATTCCTTCTGGATCATATTGAATATATGGTGATTTAGGCTGTTCAACTAATGATGAATCACAATTATTTGCAGGGGTTGAGGGTTGAGAATCTATATCACTATTTATAGGATTTTCTACTTCCCTTTCATCATCACTTTGTTTATCTTGTTCTGGGTTATATTCTTCATCAGAAGAATCTTCTGGTAATTCTTCTTCAATTAATACTTGTACTTCTGATGAAGTTTTTTTTATTGGAGTAATGGGCCATGGTATATTAACTTGAGCAGCTGCTAATTCTCTATATTAAAATATTTTCATTTTAATAAATTATTTTATATGATCATAAGATATATAATATTTTATTTCATTAATATATTTCATTAATATTATACTTGGCTTTAGCCCTCGTTAATTTTGGTTCAAAAGGTACATCATTCTCTGTGTCATGAAGGCGATTTTTAACCATTGCCATTACATGTTCATTGGTAATGACATGTTTCAAAATATTTTTTACATTTGTAGCTGTTAAATTAGTTTTAGCTGCTTTAGCATCTAGTTGTCTTTCAATTTCTTCTTCCATTTCATTAATAACTGAAGAAGTTTCTTCGATAGTATCTCTTTTATGTTTAGTGGAAGGTTCATAATTATCAACTTCGGAGACGTCAATTTGTAAAGCGGCAGTTTCTGAATCTGAAGATTCATCACTATTAACATCATTAAAATCAAAGTTAAATGAAAAGGATAAATTGCACTTCCTTGGCGATTCATTCAAAGAAATACAAGAAACAGATGGATCTTCTTCAAGAATATTCTGTTTTAAAGATTCTTCCTCCCTAAAATGATTATAATTAATAATTAAATAGAATTATTTTTTGCATTATATAAAATATGAATTCTATTTTTCGTTATAAAAAAATAGTGAAATAATAATTAGTATATGAACTAACATTATCGTTTTATCATAAATGTGTCTCACAATTAATGGTAAATTGATAAATTTATCATTCCCTTACGTTGCATAACATATTCGATTAACAAGTTTTACACATTAAAGCTGTAAAAATAAAAGTATATTTGAATATATATATATATATATATACATATATATTCATATTATAAAAAGATTTTTAATAACATAAAGGAAAATAGAAAGTAATTTAATAATTGACAGGTTATATGTAAGATTTAGTCATAATTGTATTTGCATCTATTTAAATAATTCGAATTATTTAGTCTTATCATTAAAGCTTATTTATTAATTCAGGGATACAATATTTAATGTTTAACAGTTTTTTGTTATTCATTATTATGATCTTTTACGACACATGATTTCATTTTTGCTAAAATGTAAAAATTAAACATAAAAAATGAATACGTGCATTTAAATTATTAATCGAAACTATAAATATTTTTAATCATGTCACTAATATTTAAACAATTATTAAGTTTTGATGCATTAATATGGGTATTGAAAATCACGGCTTATATTTTAGCTTAGATCAACGAATACTCTTATTAACTCGAATACAGTTTTGGCAATTTTTATCTTATTTAAAATTTATAATTTTTTTTGCATTTTAATATTTAAAATTTTTAGTATTTTTAATTGATAAATAAAAAAGAAATTTCTTGTATTTAAACCTGTATACTAATGATTAAAAAAGAATTACATATGCCAATCAATAAATATTTATAAATATAATATTGCACATATCAAATTTGAATAGTTTATTTAAAATTAGAATTAGATTGTCCCATTTCATTAAAATATTTCATATATAAATAAAAGTTTATAATAAAATGATAATAAAGATTCATATAGTAATATATAATTTCATTTTGTACGAAAATTTATAATATTTTCCCTATTTTTTTATTATTACTTTTTATTTTCTATTTCAATTTCAGGCGAGTACTAGTGTTTTCTTCAAATTTATATAATTTTTTTCATCAAATCTATATATGTTAAAAGTTACATTGTATTTCATTATTCATACCTTATGTATAATTAAAAATTTGTCAATATTTAAAAAAAAGACAATATTTTTATTACTAAAATGAATAAATGTATTTAATGATATTCACTCTTATTTCAACACAAAGTTGAAACATTAACAAATCATTATCTACAATGTCATTTGTGAAAAGGAGGAAGTTGATGTTATCAAGATCTTTCGGAAATTGCTTTCCATGAACAATTTAGAAAATCTATCGAATTATTCTATCTGTTTACATACATTTATCACCTCTAAACAGGGAACAGAATATAAGGACAAGTTTCGTTCTTCAAATAAACAGTTTTGCATCGATTGTGAATTGGTATAGACGGAACAAAGCATATAATTTAATTTTTCCTTTTTTTCTCAATATTTTGATAAAAAATGAAAGTACAAATTTTTTTCCTTTTCACTATTGTCATATTTACAAGTTATATCAAAGCGCAAAATATTTCAAATCTCGTGAAGGATCGACAGTACGTACAAAAGCAGATCAATTGTATCTTGAATCTGGGACACTGCGATTCTATAGGAAGGAAAATTAAAGGTAAAATTTAAAATATAAGTATTTAGTAAACCTTTAATTTCCTTTTTCTATTCTTTTTCTTTTCTTAAATAGAAATAAAAACCTTTATTCCTATCATTTTGTTATATTATATCAATTTTTACTTAATAGCATTTTTTAATTTTTTTAATTTTCGAATAAATTTACGCTAAAAATTCAGATCAAATTTAAAAATTATTGGATTCAAAATTCAAATAAATAACAAAAAAACACCGAAATCTTAGTATTATTTTGTCACATTCATTGATTATAAAAATTAAGAACAAAAGTTAAAATTAAAACAGTATTAAAATTTATTACTTCGATTTTATTTCATTTCGTTATATATGCACATATACAAATTTATCAAATCAAATACTGTGATAATATACAGAAAAAATAATGTGCTCATTTCACGATTTTTAAAATCAATAAATCTTACATCATGTTTTTAAAATCAGAAAAGTTTAATGTTCATGACTAACTTCATATGTTATTTCAACAAATACTTCAAATAAAATTTTTTACCGTAACTATAATTTATTATTGACAATGAATAGTGTTATAATGAATTAAAATATATATTATAACAATAAAAAATAAAGTATGAAATAATTTTATGTTGAAAATAAATAACAATATATTAAAGGCATATCAAAGAAATTAAAAAATGAAATAAAAGACATCACTGAAATATATTTGAATTTTCTGTTTTGTCGCTTCACCAATAACGGTTACGTGTTATAAATACATACGCTTTTGTTATGATTCATGAACCATGTTTATCGAGCAAAAAGTATATTCAACAAGCAGAATCATCATTTTTCCTTCTTAACATGCAAATTTAGAAGGTCATATACAGATTTAATAATTTGTTTATATTATATACAAATACTATTACCGTTCTTGCAGAATTGTTGCCAGAAGCGGTGAACAATCGTTGCCAACGTTGTACGCCTCGACAAGCTACACATGCACGCACGTTGATAGCATTTATGCAACAAAATTATCCCTATGAATGGCATTTAATTCTACAGCATTATGCAGCAATACAACATTATACTAATTAAAGTAAAAGTGTACTCTTGAATAACAATAATTGACCATAGAACAACCTATTAAACGGATTTCCTTGAAGAAATTTTGGAACGACTTTGAAAATATTTTTCACAATAATAATTACTTTTGTCTCTAAGAATCGACAAACAATTAGTTAAAATATGAAATCTATCTACTATGAATTTTTATATTGTGTCAATTCTTAACACTTTATTTACAAGTCTCAGAATATTTCGTCTTTTTAATTTTGGAATTTATCGATATATTACAATAATCATATATATTACATCAAATCAGATGTAAATATTCATAACAGATATAAGTAGTGTCTATAAATGGAATAACCATTTATATTTTATTAATGAGACTCTAAGTTAGAAATATGCAACCTTTCGTAACTATGACAAACAAATTGTTAAGATATTGTTTAATAAATTGTTAGAATATTGCTTAATAATACTTTTCATTCTTTTCCTAGAAATTTCGAATAATCCTTCAAAAATTCAATATCTGTGTACAAAATAGAATATAGAAATTAAATTGTCATTAGTACAAAATGTTTTTGTAACTATACTGACTAAGACTTAATGTACTAAATGAAGAAGCTAATACTATTTCATATATAACGTTATGCTATCATTTCTTAAGTGACATTAATAGCTAATGGATTTTTAAATATTTATGCAACGAAATACTGCATTTATAAAAGTAAATTGCAAATATAAAATACAAGAAAAGTGCTAATTACTTTTAAAGTTTTCAAACTAAGAAGGTAATGAAAAAGAAAATTATTTTTCATTTCATTTGTTATGAAACATAAATGTTAAAAATGATACTAAACTTTTAAATAGTAGTATAGATAGTATTTTTATTCTATTGTATGCAATGTTAACATTTAATTATTATATTTTTAAATTCTTATTACTTATAATAAAAGTATTTCTACACGTGATAATTTTATCGTGAAAGTGAAACGCAAAATTTAATTACTAGAATTTACAGTCACTATATACATATGTAAATTATGATTGAGAAATAATAACCCACGAATTGTATAAAATTTAAATGTGTATATTCGTTAAATGAAATTTAAGGGATAATATAGAAAGCTTATACAATCAACTTGCAATACAGTCGAATGATGAAGTGGATTGGAGTCGCGATATGGTTTGCATTTCAATTAGTGTGATGATTCTAATGTCGAAATGAATCTACAAGATATGAGCAGAATATTCTGTAAGTCGTAGATCGATGGGTAATAGGAGATTCCACGAAATAAAGACGCCAAGTAAAGAATATGTAATAACGTTCGATTGGCTCACGTAATTTCAGGTTTATTTTATAATAAAAGAAATAATTTTTATATTTAAGAAAATAAATTAGTTTTAAACTAATTTTATTTTTGATTAATCTGAAATAATCTATTTCTTTAAAATATATAAAACAAAAAATTATTTTAATTAATCTTAATTCATCAAATCAATATAGATGATAATAATATACAACCTTGTCAAATTTTTTGAAGATTACACTGTTGAAGAAGTTTGTCCAATTCCGTATTTGGCATTCTAAGATTGCTAAATATAAATCTCATTGTAGTTTTATCATTGTATTGTTATTGATAATGATCCTTGACAAAACATGCAACGTAAATAGACGATGGTCATCTTTTAAATACGGCGAAGAATAATCTCTTCATTATTCTTGATAATATGTCGTACTGGCTGAGTTAACTACACTAGCGGCATTTCTTTATTTTGCATTTGTCTCCTTTCTTTTCATTTTACCGATTCTTTCTTCTTGCTAACTGCATCAGATACTGGATGATGGACAACTCGAGGTACTGAAGGATGGCCCATGTAAATTTAACCCAGCAGATTTTGATTGAATTTAACCGAAAATTACTGTATTTTTATTATATTATTGAACAATATCTCTATATATTTGTCAATCTGCACACGAAGTACATTTTATGTAATTTAAGATGCAAACAACAATCAACATAATAAAACATTCTTTTTCTAAAAAAACTGATTAAGTGCTATAATATGAACTAGTTTAATTATCATTTATATTGACAAAATTTTATGAAACAAATTCATGGTCAGTTCAAAGATATTTCATAAATTCATTTCAACTTGTGCTTGCATTTTATCAAATTTTTTAATGTAATAACAATATATGAATAATATATTATTAATAATAAAAGCATTTGAATAAATTAATAGAATAAACATCGATTACAATGAGATAGTTAACGATTGTAATAAAATCTATTCATTATATCTTTTTATATAATTTTGTTTATTTCTAATAAATTATATTTTAATACTCCTACTCTGATATCCTCGTTCGGTGGTACCGTTTTAATGTATATACATTTTATAAAGGTGCGTGTAAAATACTTGACTAACGCGTTTATCCACTCCCTCCAATGTCCTCTGTGTTCAGCTATATAATTCGACAGCTTGCTTCAACAGCTACAAAGAGCGTTTTACTTTCTGCTGCAGAGGGTAGCTTTTAAACAAGACCATATCCGTTGGTTTAATTATCATAGATATTAACTTATGGTGATTAAAAGTGGAAGAACATACTTTAATTACAATATGAAAATTTGTCTCGTACTATTTGCATTGTTTGCAATTGTTTGTGTAACAGCAGAAAATTACACTACCAAATATGACGATGTGGATGTTGATAGGATTCTACAAAATAATCGTATCCTAACTAATTATATTAAATGCATGCTGGATGAAGGTCCGTGTACCAATGAAGGCAGAGAATTGAAAAGTGAGTATAAAGATCATTTTCGTAAAATTAATAGTTAATTCTTCAAATTTAATTTAATCTTTTAGTTTTATTAAGTGATATATTATAATTTCGCTTTATTCTTAAGTTAAATTATAAGTTGTTATTAATTTAATTTAATTATATTAATTAAATTATATTAAGTTTTAAGTTATTTAGAATAACTTTATTAACTTAACAATATTCTTTGATTTAATTGCAAATTGATACAAGTTTTCAAATTACTCAATAAATTGAACAAAAATAAAACGATATAACCATTTATATTAAAATATGATATATCACTCGTTAATTGTGCTATTTGAAACTTTTAGAAAGATGTAAGACATAAAGAGTTTTTATGGTAATATTAAAGATGTAAATATCTTTTATAATTAAATGTTTATGTATTTAAATTTTGTTTGGACAACTCCATTATTAGCGAAATATAAATGTTATTAGTTTATGTAAATATTATTGCTAGAATTTGGAAACCATTACTTACTTCATTTACATAATCATTTTTCCTTTATTTGGAATTGTTCTCAATAAATAGAGAATTTTGAGTTTGCTGCATTTCATGACAACTGTTTTAAAACATAATACATAATACAAATATTTTCCGTTTTGAAAACGCTTTACTATTTTCCTTTTTCTTCGAACTTCCACAATCGATTTTTGAAATTAAGAACAAAACAGTATAAATAGGAAATTATATTTATAAATAGATATATATATTTTAAATTAACGAAGTTAATAAAGTAGTTTTATTCAAAAATATGACCAAAAGTTACGTCGGTTTCGTTTGTAAGTTTCTATGTGCATCTACTGCAACGATTACGACAGAGTTCAATTCACTCTCCCTCTCTTTATTACATAACTTGCTTTGAACTTTCTCATTTGAATTACTTCGAACTCTCTTAAGTAACATCTATGTTGTTATTATAGCGTATTATATCAAGTGAAAGAAATTCGAGAAAAAAGTAATTAGAATATTCTTATGAATTCGTACCTTATTTAACAATTATGAAAGAGTAAAATATTATAGTAATTTATTTCACATTTATTTTAAATAAACACAATAAAGAAAAAATAAATAATTAGAAATTTATCTATGAAAAATTTGGCAAAAATGATTATTAATTCAGTTATGTAAATTTATTAATATTATTTATATTACGATAGGTTACACAAATTATTAATTTACACGTAAAAAATAATTACAAATCACTATAATAAAAAAGTTTTACTATTTAATTATTTAAAATTATCTTGTTATATTAAACCTTCGTGAAATAATTCATAAAATAATTATATAAGATTTTTATAATAAAAATATAAAAATATTAAATAATTGATATGTTTACTGTTTTAGAAATTTTACCCGATGCTCTATCTACAGGATGCAGTAAATGCAATGAAAAACAGAAATATACTGCAAATAAAGTAATAAATTATCTGAGAACTAAGAAATCAAAGGATTGGGAACGACTTTCCGCAAAATATGATTCAAATGGAGAATATAAAAAACGTTTCGATAATCTATCATTGCAACTTACCAAAAACAGCTGAATTTACGTTTACATACCTAAAGAATGAATTATATTTTTACAGTAAAATATGATAAAAGTAATAAAATAATTTACACATAGAGATTATTATAGACATTTGATAATATTTTTGTTATTTTATATTGATGAGCTCATGACATTAAAACTTCATATATTAATCATATGCCGAGTCCATATATTTAATTAAACATTTTCATCATATTACATTAACTGTTAATAAAAAGTATTTAGAAAAAATATATATTTATTTTTTTTAACGCGTTTATACTTAGTGAAGCAATATATGCTTCATGGGGATCTTGTACTGTATACATTATATCATGCTTTCTTAACGATAAATATCGCATAGTCTTCTATTGCACTACTACACTAGTCTTTTTTTCATCTAAGTGCAAACACGTTAAATTATTTTTTAAATGTTCATTAATAAAATTCATTTATTTAAAAGTCTATTTGTGAATGAATTCATACATTGTGAATGAAGGATACAAATCGTAATGAAATATTTGTAAGTCAGAATCGACGAAATTTGGATTGTATTTGAAACATAAATAAAATCTTGCTTTTATTTTATCAAATTCATTCAACTCGCCTCTTTTTGACAAGCGAACCAAGCTGAAAACAAAAAGAGGATACTTTCAGTTTTAAGATATCTTATTAAAGTCATGATCATGTACATAAATAACTTACGAGATCTGAAATTGCAGGTAAATTATTAGTCTGATCTATAACATTTGTTTCTGGCTCTCTAGTTTCTTTTGGTGGAGCAGCTTTTTTCATATTTCTGTGTTGTGGAAAAGTAGGCATAAGTTTGGGATCACATGCTATGGAAAAATTAAATTCAGTAACAATTAATAATTTTAAAATATAAGGATTACTATAATATATATTGATTTTTATTACTTACGTAAAGGAGCTTCTTTAAAATAGCTACTTTGTAAACATTCTTCTGCAGTAGCTCTTTTTTTTGGATCATACATGAATAAGAAATTTAATAATCTCAAACCAGCAGCACTTAACCATGGAAACCGTTGTTTTAAATTATTATACGGTTGTTGTTTTAATGTAAAGTTCTGTAATGCTGGAAGCATATTAAACTCAGGCCAAATTGCTTCACTTGGTGTACCTAGTAAGTCAACAATTAATTCTAACTGAGCAATTTCTGACCGTCCAGGTAATAAAGGACGATGTCCAAGTAATTCTCCTGATGAAAATACCAATAAAATTTAAATTATTATATTAAATATTTTGATATCATATATAAAGAAAAAAGAAAAGTTTTACCTAAAATGCAACCTGCAGCCCACATATCAACAGAAGTCGTTTGAGTTTTTGCTTGTAATAAAAGTTCTGGAGCTCTATACCATAATGTTACTACTCTAGGTGTCATTGGCTTTAAAGGCAAACCAAACCACCTAGCAAGTCCAAAATCAGCAATTTTTACACATCCTTTATCTGTCATAAGTAGATTTGAGACTTTCAAATCTCTATGTACGATAAAATTATGATGCAAATAACGCAAACCCTTTAACACTTGTAAAACAATACATTTAACTTGACTTTCTGAAAATGGAGCTTGCATGTTGTCTAATAAACTTGCTAGGTCTTGTTCACAATATTCCATAGCAAGAAATATGCTTTCTAAACTTCTCCCTACTACTACTTCCCTTAAATGTACAATATTTTCATGACGACAAGATAAAAGAACAGATATTTCTCTTAAACCGCTGACTGGTAAACCATCTTTTTCATGTTCCATTCGAACTTTTTTCAAGGCTACAACTTTATCATTTTTAGTATCTCGTGCTCTGTAAACAATTCCATAGGTGCCTTCTCCTATACGATTTAATTTTTCAAATTCAGATACAAATCTGCATTTACCTAACTATAAAAAGAGAAACATGTACTAATTATTCTATTATAATAAATAGAATTAAAGTTATAACCAAAATTATTGATTAAATCGTTACAATATCTTGTTCTGGTATTTCCATTGGCTTCCCAGTCAAAAATGATGTTAATACTCCCCTTCTAGTTATTGGTGCTGATGGGTCAGGGCCAGATTCAGATGCAGTCTTTTTATCAGTATCATTATTTTCTATTGATTTTTTCTCCAGTGTTTCGTCTAAAAAAAATTATTAAAATCTTATATAAATTATTTATTAGCTTTCACTTATTAGTTAACATAGCTTTATTTAAATCAATATTTATAAAATGTCAATTACTTTAAACTATTAGTATTATTTAAGAAACTGTTTAAAATTAATTATGTATATTGAAGGAGTTTATGTATTGTAATTTATAGTTAATCATAAATTAATTTTAATTTGAATTATTTTAATAAAGAAAATGTTTAAAATGACAATTTTTTCAATAAATTTACATTTAAATCGTGTCAAAATTCAGTTCCATTAATTTTTACATTTGAACTTAAAATTCAAACAATATTATCAGTTTCAAGTATAATATTGAAAATATTGGTAATAGATCTAAGTTTAAGATTCAAATAAATTTCTGAAAATCGTAAAAAAATGTAATTAGTTTAATATACAAATATCTGATAATTTTAACTAAAGTATAATAAATAAAAGAATTTAACTATTAACCTAGCATAACAATGTTTATATTACGATTCTATTCGAGTAAAGTTATACCTTTTGTCATTGTGGTCTAATTTTTTCAAAAAAATAGTTCCAAAACTGTATTTATTTTCCTCTTTAACATTCGTATTTTAAAAAAATGTAGATGCAGAAATTATCTATTGCTTAACTTGACCGGGTACAACAATTTTTAATAATCTTCAATATTTCATTTGCACCATTGAAAATATAAAAGAGAGATTCGATAGGAGTGTCTAGTTTCATTAAGGTATTACCCTTAAACGCTATCTTGTGTTACATCCTAAAAAATAAAATTGAAAAATTAATGTTTATATTACTATTAGTATATGTAAAGAAAAATAATATTACTTAAATACTATAATCTATAATATTAATTTTATAATCAGATCTTATACTTTTAAGAGAATATTTCATGTATTGTATCATTTATTTATGCATATTATGAAATATATTTCTAATAATATATTCATTTACGATATATTGAATTTATATTATTTTATACTATTTTTTTGATCAGTCATAAGTGTATGTTAAGTTTTTAATTGTATACTATTTCACGTAATTTATTATTTTTTGATTACATTCATTTCAATAATAACTTAAATTTACCTATCTTTAGTAACCGTAAGTCTATGATATTTATGTTGTGATCGATATGTATCACTGGTGAAAAATAGTACAAAATTTACCGTAAAATAATGTTTTAATAAAGTAGATGTGTTTTTATTTTTATGTTACAGATTTTCTTAAGATTTATTTAGTTTTATACAAATTATTTCTTTATTCTTCAAGAAACTAATTGTGTAGTTTGAATTCAAAATCTAAAATCGTAATCAAAAAATTAAAAGTTAATAATTAACTTTTATTTAATAATTGATAGTTAATAAACATTAAAAATTAACTTTATGTTTATTATTTAGCGATTACAAAGTTTTTGTGAAATTAATTTATTTTTATCTTTTAAGTAAGGTGAATAAATAAATGTCAAAAGAAAACATAAATGTACTGAAGTATTATGCTACTGTTGTTCGATATTAATAAAGTGTTGTATTTACCAGTAAGAGATAGTTTTTAAAAAAAGGGAAAAAGAAAAAACTTGACTGACAAACAATTGCAATTTTATATTTGGAAGATTAAAATATAAAAAATGAGTTCACATCATGAATTGCACATATCTGTTGAACATTCAGTTTCTGTTGACATAAATCACATCTGTACACTTTCTAAGGATATTGGTGCTCTTTATCTCTCAGATGATTACTCAGATGTTACTTTAATTGTTGGTGGACAAAAATTGAAAAGTCACAAAATTATTTTAGCTGCACGTAGCCAATATTTTAGAGCTCTTTTATTTGGAGGTTTAAAAGAATCTACTCAACACGAAATTGAATTAAAAGATGCTAATTTAGCAGGGTTTAAAGGTTTGTTAGAATACATATACACAGGACAAATGCCTCTTGCAGAGAAACGTGAGGAGGTATTATCTTGATTGATTATTAAATCTTATTAATTCTTAAATATATTTAATTTTTATTATTTAGTTAATTATTATTATTCCTAGGTGGTATTAAATATCCTTGGATCAGCACATCGTTATGGATTTTCAGAATTAGAAACCTCTATATCAGATTATCTTAAAGAAATATTAAATATAAGAAATATATGTCCCATATTTGATGCAGCACTTCTTTATCAACTAGAATTTCTCATCAAAGTATAAACATTATATGTATGATGATATTCGACTAGAAAGATGATTGATAACATTCAATGAAATTAATCTGTTTTAGGTTTGTCATAAATATATGGATGAACGTGCATGTGAAGTAATGCAACATGAAAACTTTTTGCAATTAAGTGCTGATGCTTTAAATAAACTTATTTCAAGAGATTCCTTTCATGCACCAGAGATTGATATCTTTTTAGCTGTAGGAGCATGGGTAAAAGCAAATCCTGATCCAGCTTATAAAAGTGTTTTAGGTAAAATATAAAAACAAAAATATATTCTAAATATAATTTTAAATTATCTTTTATAATAATAGTATTCAATTGATTAGAGAAATTTTGTAGATAAGGTACGATTAAGTTTAATTTCAATCACGGATCTCTTAAATGTTGTTCGACCAACTGGACTAGTTTCTCCAGAAGCAATCTTAGATGCAATAGCTGCAAGAACACAAACACATAATTCAGATCTTAATCACCGTGGTCGACTACTTGCTGATTTAAATGTTGCCCATCCTATGTACGGTGCACAAGTTTTACAAGGAGAAATGCGTGGTTACCTTTTAGATGGAGATACAAATAATTATGATATGGAAAGAGGGTAAATTGCTGAATTTATTTTTTAAGATATTCATCTAAATGATGTTATTCTTTTATCAGGTACACAAGACATACCATTACTGAATTACGAGAACATTGTATTTTAGTTAAATTAGGAACTCAGTGCATTATCAACCATGTTAAAATGTTACTTTGGGATAAAGATATGCGTTCATATTCTTATTATTTAGAAGTGAGCCAAAAGGAAAAAAATATTTAATACATAACCTTTATGGTTAACTTTTTGTATTGTAATTGTTTCTTTTCCTTTTATTTTAATAGGTATCTATGGATCAAAAGAGGTGGATTCGAATTATCGATTACACAGAATACTTTTGTCGTAGTTGGCAATACTTATACTTTCAACCAAGAATAGTTCTTTATATTCGTATTGTTGGAACAAATAATACTGTCAATAAAGTAAAGTCATTATTAAAAATATTCATATTTTATAATTTATTGCAAAGAAGCATTCAAAAATATTTATATTCTATAACTTCTATTTTTTAAGGTTTTCCACCTTGTGAGTTTTGAAGCATATTATACAAATCATACAGAAAACCTTTATGATGGTTTTGTTATTCCAACCCGGAATGTTGCTATTATGGGTCAAGGTGCAACTGTTACAGAAGGTGTTTGTAGGTCTGTAAACTGTTATATATATATATTTCATGCTTTTTATATCGTGAATCTTTTAAATCTAGATCTCGAAATGCTTTATTAAATGGTGATACATCAAATTATGATTGGGATAGTGGGTACACATGTCATCAAGTTGGATCTGGTTCTATTCTGGTACAACTTGGTCAACCATACGTTATAGACTCTATGCGGTATAGATTATTACTTTACATATAACAAACAAGAAAATATTAAATTTTCTAACACATTCATTTACATGTATAGATTACTACTTTGGGATTGCGATGATCGTTCGTATTCTTATTATATAGAAGTGTCTGGTAATTCTCGAAGTTGGATTTTAGTTGCTGATAAAAGGAAAGAATCTTGTCGTTCATGGCAAACAATACGCTTTACTGCACGTCCTGTCGTTTTTATACGTATTGTTGGAACACACAATACAGCAAATGAAGTAACTATCTGTAAATGCGCGCGCACGCGTGTCTGTGTTTTGTTTGTGATTTGTATATATAGAGCATGTAAAGTACTTTTACTTTCTAGGTTTTTCACTGTGTTCATTTTGAATGCCCTGCTCAAGGAGATGATGATGATGATTGAACTGCGTAAGAAAAAATGAAAAGAAAATGATCGAGAAGAGACAAATTCTACAAATAGGAATATATTATGGGATAATTAACCGTTTGGCTACAAATGATTGTGTAAAATTTCATTACTTCAGATTATACATTAAGTATTCAATTCTTGGTTCATTTAAATATTCTAAATTAAAGGTTTAAGTGCTTGTATAGTATAGTAATATAAGTTGTGATTGTAAAAATAATTGTAAAATCATTCTTTTAATTAAAATAAATTTTTAATTTAATGAATTCTATTTTCATTAATCTCCTTATAATTAAAAAAGAGAAAAAGACTGTTTTGCAAACTGTTTGGTAATATTAAGATTATACAAATTTATTCAAAATATTCAATAATTCGTAACAGAAAAATATTGATTACAAATATATTTTGCATGACACAAATAATGTTCTAATAATTCCTAGTTTATAATAATGTAAAGATATATATTCTCGTAAAATTAAACAATTTAATATAAATTACTGAGAAGTCAAATAAACAAATAAATCACAATTAATAAATAGATATAAAAATTAGAATTTATTTTTAAGTGACTTGTAATTTATTTAATTGTCTAAATTACATAATTATATCGTATATTCAATTAAAATTATCTTAAAATTTTGAAAATATCCCTAGTAATTTTATCCTTATTTGTTGATTGTTTAATTTGTGTATAGTGTTATATAAATTATAATAAATTTAATATAGAAGAATCTTTAATCTTATGATTTTCGAAGTTATCAATTTTAAACTTTGATCTACAGTTATATATAAATAACAATATTGGCGTAAATACGAGATATATTCATAAATGTATATATACATAACTAGATATATATGTAGGGTATAGATGGTACTAGTTCATGAGTAAATACCGTTTTAATGTAGTGGTATTAATGCAATATACATTTGGACAACTTGGGATAAGTAATATTACAATAAATTGAAATTTGATAAAATTCATTTTGAAAACATATACTTTTTAATGGTATTGTTAAAGAATGATATTAGAAATGATAAAAATAATGAGGTGACCAACCTACTTTGATTACAAACACGACCACCTAGCATAAATACGAATAACAGGCAGAATTAAAAACAGCGGTAGAAGTAACAACATCGGTAAAAACAACGATAATTACGCAACTTAAAAGTTTTTTATAAATATATGAATCTTTTAAGCGTTAATCGTTAAAAGACATATGTATAAAAATATCGATGTCTGTATGTTAACTACAAAAATATTCAGTAAAATACAAAAATCATTCATTGATTTTACTGCTTATTAAGAATATAACATCAAATATTGAATTTCTATTCATAAATAACTTCTATGTAACGAAAATTTTGGTATGATTATTTAATATAGCATGCCACATTTTGGAAATGGAATACAAGGAAATTACTATTATATCAAGAGGGATTCGATTAGATAAAGAAAAAAATTATTACTATTTTGGATATCATTTTCCTAGCAAGAATAAATGGCCATGGCTGAGAACTCGGAAAGTGAAAAATATCCTTTACATAAATGCATATTTCAAGGAGATGTTAAAACCTTAAGTTCTTTAATTAGAACTTACAACATCGCAGAAAAAGATAGACAAGGTTAATATAAATATTGTAGATATATGTGTTAGTAATCAATTATAATTATGTATAGTTTAAAAATAATTCAATTTCTTTTTATAGGAAATACTCCTTTACATTTAGCTGTCATGTTAGGAAGAAAAGGTAAAGACATTTAAAATGTTTAATGTACGTTATTAAAATATGTAATATAAAATATATAAGAAATATTACAAAATATGTTATATAAAATATATAAGAAATATTACAAAATATGTTATATAAAATTCAAAATAAAATTTAGAATCAGTCCAACTATTACTTGCACATGATGCCCCAGTACAAGTAAAAAACTTAGCTGGATGGAGTCCACTTGCAGAAGCAATCAGTTATGGAGATAGACAAACCAGTTAGTGAAAATAATAACATTAAAATATATCACAAAGAAATAATTTTAATATCAGTTGTACATTTTTTATAGTATCATTATTGGTGAGAAAATTTAAACAACAAGCTAGAGAGCAAATGGAGGAAAGCAGACCAAATTTAGTAGCAACATTACGTCAAATGGGAGATTTCTATATGGAATTAAAATGGGATTTTCAAAGTTGGGGTACTTAATGTTATGTCTGAATTATGGTTTTAAAATTTTATAAAAATTATATCAATTTACAAATATCTTTAACATTTTAGTGCCACTTGTGTCTCGTGTACTTCCTTCTGATGTTTGTAAAATACATAAAAGTGGAGCATCCATAAGGACGGATACTACTTTAGTAGATTTTAATGACATGAGATGGGAAAGAGGTGACATATCGTTTATTTTTAATGGTGACCAAAAACCAAGCAAATCATTGGCAGTACTTGATAATAAGGCTAAACGTTATAAGAGAGTAGGATATGAGGTCAAATTATTTTCTTATTAATCAATATTTATAATTAAATATCTTTCATGTTAATAGTAATAATAACTTTATTACCATTGATTTATTTTTTAGGAAACTGAACTGGAAATACAAGATGAAGTTGATATTCTTATGTCAAGTGATATAATGGTAGCACAAATGTCAACAAAAGGTATTACACTTTCAAAAACTCAAACAGGCTGGATATTTCGTGAAGATAAAAGGGTAAGGCCAATACTGTTGTTTTATCTTATGATTCTTCTCCTCCTTCTCCTGCTTGTTTCTTAAAATTTTTTTGAGATATATCTCAAATATTTAATAAAGGAGATGGTAGGACCTTTCCATGCGGACTTTTACCAAATTAATGGAATGGTTTTGGAAAGTAAGATACGACGAGAACATTTAAGCGAGGAAGATCTACAAAAGAATAAGGCTATTATGGAATCATTAACAAAAGGAAGCTCACAAGGATTTACTAATAGAAAGGTAAAATAAATTAATAGAGTTTTTATTTTTTTTAAGTATACTAATTTATCTATTTTTAGTCTCAAGCTAGAAGAGCTTCTTTAAATCCACCACCAGAGTCAAATATTACTTGGGAAGAATATATTATGGCTCCACCTGGTCACTGTCCACTTCTTGGAAGAAATCTTGTTTATAAGGAAAGCAGTAAATCATTTAAAGCAACAGTTGCCATGAGTCCAGATTTTCCACTCACTGTTGATATGTTACTCAATGTTTTGGAAGTAATAACTCCATTCAAACATTTTAGAAAATTACGAGAATTTGTTTTGATGAAATTACCACCTGGGTTTCCTGTAAAAATTGATATACCTATTTTGCCTACGGTGACAGCAAAGATTACTTTCCAAGAATTCGCTTTTCGAAATGATATAGATCCTAAGCTGTTTCAAATACCACCGGATTACCTTGAAGATCCTATGAGGTAAATTTAGAAAATGGTTATAGATTTCTCATATATATATATTACTTATTTGATTAAGTAAAGTTTTAAAATTCAATTGTTTTCTTTTTTTAGTCTTTATTAATAAATTTAATCAATTATTTTAGATTTCCAGATTTATGACAGCTCTGTGCACTGAAGATAACTCAAGTCAATTATCATATTAAAAAAAAGCCACTTTTTCTTCAAAATACTATTTGGAGAAAATTATTTGGCTTTTAAATTTTTTCAAATTGCTGCCAAGAAGGCCTCCCAATAAATTACAAAGTACACTTTTAAAAAAGATGATTCTGATTTTGAATATGAAATATAGCAAGTATTCTTGTTGATAAAATTACACAAATAAGTTTGAGGAGCGGCATACTCTATTTACAAGGTTGTACGCTAAATCATAAAAAAAAAGCAACTTAATAAACTTATGCACATTAAGGCATACATTCTACACCATAAAGTGCATAAAAAATGATTATGTTATATATCTTATTTTCTCTCAGTTTAAGTTTTAAATTTTTCTTTTTTGCATTTAGCAATTATTATTTAACAAGATATTTTTGTGAAGTAAAAATATTTGCAATATTTATTTATAAAAGAAATCTTTATCTCTTTTGAAGAGAGTATTTTTAATTAGTAGAAGATATTGGAGGCGAGTATTATAAATAAATTCTTTTTTAAATATAACGGCCAAATAGCGCCTCCTATTCTACTTTATTATATTGATTTAATCATTATCAACATGATTTTTAAAATATAGTGATGCAATTTATTGGTATTATTTTAAATGTGTTATTCTGCACATATCTGGCATTTTGCTAGCTAATTTAGAATTGTAATATTATATAATATATGTATGTGTGTGTTTAGTTTAAAAATTTTTAAATAAAAATTATAGCAAATCATAACATGGTATGTATTGTTTTAATTTTGAATCATCTGTATCAAAAATAATTCTAGGAAAAAATTAAATATTTTTTTTTAAGACAGGTAGTTAGCTTGTGCAACAATAGAAACAGCAATAGTTGAAAAATAAAGGCTAGAGGCGAAGGTGTAAATAATATTGAATAATAGCCCAACAATACAGAGAGTTGATTGCTATCATGGCTAACTTGAATATTGTTAGCTAATAATAATGTCGTAAGAAATAAAATCCATAATATGCTTCAAATTCACCCAGCAGCCAAATTATTTGACCTTAAACTAGTGATGTTGTATTAACTTTATGGACATGGTAAAGGAACTGTATATCAAAATGAAATCCCTTCTTTTATATTATTGCATTTAAATAGTTATTATTCAAGACAAATTATCAGTGCTGTGAACATATCTAGTTATGTAATGTATTTTAACAGTAAAACACCCAACAAGCTAAGGCATCTCAATAATATTGCTATTAATTATGTGAACTTAAAAAATATTGATTAGGCTCTACAAGATAACATGCACATTGTGTGCTAGTCAGAGAACTTTAGTATCAAAAGTAACCTTGATTTCTGTAAGAAAGAAATATAATTAAGCAAATAGAGGATCAAATATTCTAGCGGCAATATTTATGCGTTTTGTGAAGAACAAAAGACGTAAACATATCTGTTAGAATTAACGAAACATATGCATAATTCTAGATGATCATTTCAGACCTGAACCTAGGGAATCTTATGAATGAAGGAATGTGCAAGTATTTCATCCAATTATATCTTAAGAATCCTTAGGCAACTTGCCATATCCTAGAATAGTCTAACAAAGTAGGATATAATACCCCTAACTTAAATCATCGAGCAGACGAGATCATGTAATATGATCAGTATAGCAACAAATGTAGACATGGTTACCAAGATGAGATTCTTATTAAAAACAATTATCTTAAATCTAGTTCTTAATATGTTACTAGATAATAGATGCTAGATTTAATTCTTGAGAGAAAAATAGCGTATTTTTTATTTTTACAATAGTTGTTTTATTTATATTATTTCATCGTACATATACTTACATTGTATAAATTATTTAATAACGTACAAAAATGTAACAGTAATAATTAAAGGTCATTAAACAAATAAATTTGCTCATAAAATTACTACATTTTGTTAAATTATTTTATTTCTATTTCATTCTCGAAATCTGGCGTCTAAACATAATTATATAAAAACAAATTATACAGAAGATGAATAAATATTTTTAATTTTGTTACAAAGACAAAAAGTTGTAAGAAAAATTTGAACAAGTGAATATTTAATTTAAGTATATAATTTAGTATTATATTAATTCATTGTGCTCAATGAATCTGATAAGATTATTTGGTTTAAATGGATTCGGTTCAACTCGGTTTTATTCGGAACTGTACTGCTTAGCAGCAAATAGTAACTAATTGGTATAGATAGGTGTACAGTGTTAGTTGGCGTCTTTCAAGAAGAAAGAAATATAGTCGTTTTGATTAAAATTTTGTACAATTGATAAAATTTCAATGACTTAAAGAATGCTGCCTCGTATGAAATTAATTTTGTGTTTTTGCGTCATTTTATACGCATTAGATAGTAAAGCTGACGGCAATCAAGTTTCATTAACCAAACTTGGTACAAAAACAGGACCGACTTTAAAATTTTTTTATTGGTAAGTTTTACAATTTTTGCTATAAAAAATAATCACTTATTTTATTTATGTAGTGTACTTCAATATACGTATTTGAATTTCATTGATTAACCAACAATTCTTGTCTTTCCTTTTTCCAGTTATTCTTGTGGATATAGAAAAGTTTTTGAAGAATATGCCAATATCCTTAATAAAAAATATCCAGAATTACAAATTAGTGGAGAAAACTATAATCCCTCTCCTAATAAGATGTTCATTGCTAAATTATTAGTAATTATATATTTTTTTTTTATATATATGTTCATATATTCAGTATATGATATATATAATATATTTTTTCTTTTTTCTTATTCAGAGTCTTGTAAAAATTTCTCTAATAGTTTTAATAGTAATTGGACTTGATTTTGGACAGCCACCAGCATCGTTGTGGCAATGGTGTATAGAAAATCGAATCTATTCTTGTATAATGATATTTTTCATTTTTAATGCTATAGAAGGGCATTTCTTATTGTCAGGAGCATTTGAAATACATTTCAATGGTAAACAGTATCTATAAGTTAATTATGATAAATATAACTATATAAAATTTTTAAATACGTATTTCATATTATCTACAAATTAGTTATTATGTTTTAGATGTTTCTGTATGGTCAAAACTGGAAACTGGCAGAATACCACAACCATTTGAGATATTTCAAATAATAGATGCTCATTTAAGTATGCAGTATGCAGATGTAGATATAAAATAGATTAATTTTAATAAGAAATCCAATGGCATTTTTTTTCTATTTGTACCAAATGTTAAATCACTGTGATTATGGAGCTTTCATTGTTGCAACTCTGTAATTGTTAAAAACAAGTATTGTCATTCCCATGTTTTATATATGTACGTATTTTACTATAAACCTTGCCATCTCAACTTAGTTAAGAAAATATATTCAAAACAAATAGAGTTTGCATAAGGGAAGCAGAAATAAAACTTTTAATATTGTTCAAAAACTATTTTTCATTTTCCATCTTAACTTAGGAATTGGAAAAAGAAATAAATAATACTATTTAAAAATAATAATTATAGAAATAAATATTTGGAACTTCAGAATATCTTTCAATTAAGATATATTTGAAATTTTTATTTAAAGATACAAACACTTCATGGTTATTTTTATCTATATTCTTCCTAAGCAATTGCTATTGTTTTTAATATTAATTGATTCATTTAATGATTTCTAGAATCACAAGTAGTAAATGTTTTTTTAAAAAAACCAAAATGATAAATTCTGACAATTGAATTTAGAATACAGTAAATAAGTAAATATTAAATAATACAAAATTTTTTAGTAAGAAATATTTTTGGTTGTGTGATAGGATAAATTGAAAATATAATAAAATAAAATAAATAAGTAATACAAAAAATAAATACAAATAAACGTTATTTTTACTTCATTAATAACAAATTTGCATTGTATTTAAATGAACATAAAAATATAGAATTGAAACAAATAAATTTATAATTTAGCTAATACCTAAATTTTATGTATATGTATATATATATAGTTATGAAAAAAGTATATTTATATATACATATACACTATTAATAAATCATATCTGGAAATAAATCATTATTTCAATATTTTATTTCAGAAAAATGTTATTTTATTATAAAAGATATTTGTTTTAATTTCAGAACATAATTTGAGATAATAGAGGGAAGGTACATGTTTAGAATTAATATATTATCATATTTAAATCTTTGAGAAGTAACAAAATTAATAAAATATTACGATATCTAAATATAAATTTTAAATAATTCAATTGAAAATGCGTCCGTTAAACAACCCTTTTGTTTCATACGCATCAACTATACATATTCATATTGACGAGAAAATTATGAACTTGAGATTTGATTTTGCATACAATTATCGTTCGTTTTAAAAAAGTATATTGTTCAATTCAATTTATTTCATTCTTTTGTATACCAAAACTTTAGAATCGTTTCAGTGCACAAGTATTATTGAATGTTGCGCCTTTTAAAAGAAAGAGAGAGAAACTATGATTTTAGAGAAGGATCATTGAAGATAGCATAATTCTCCTCCCTTTTTCCCCTTACCAATAATTTATGTAGTAGTTAGTTTTACAATTCGATCATGTATTCTTAGGCCCGTAGATTTAACGAAAGTCCAAGGGTACCAACAAATTCAGTGTACTTCTTAATTACGAAAGATTTTGCCTAAGGAAGCAAAAGGATCATAGCCAGGTCTGACATACGCGTGCTTCGTGATAAGAAACGATAGGTGTTTGACGGTCAGTCGAAAAAATTGTAATTTAATTGTAGTTAGTGATAGCGTTGAAGAATCAGGGGTTACAAAATTAAATCAAGTTATAATCTGCAACCCGGTTTCTGTACGGTGGTTTAAGTAAAAACTAAAAATCAGAAATATCTGAATTCTCTGTACTTGCTACTTCGTTCTTTTGCTATGCATATTTTCAATTCGATAAAATCTATATTTCAATAGTTTTCTTACTTTATCATTTTATCTTACAAAGCAAAAGATTAATTATAAATATTTCGCGCTAACAGCGTATCAAAACGTAAAACGAAAATCAGAGCGGCAGAGTTTAAATGAGAGCTCAAATGCGGTATCTTCTCAGTTCTCATGCTAAAAAACAGAATTTGCTACTATTGAATTGTAGAACAACATTTGCAGAAAAAGGCATAATATACATTTATTTTATGCCAAGAATTCATTGTTGATTTACTTAGTAAATTACATTGTACATCTCCAATGTACTTTGAATCTGTTAAAAGTGTCTCCAGACAAATGTACCAAAAAATAGTTGGTCTGGATGATCATGGATGTTGACTACACAGTAGTCAGTTTAAAACGATCTAGTAGTGCACCCATGATCAATAAGATCACTGCAACAATGTCTGTGACATCACCTTCCGCTTCTGCGCCAAGGTATTTTCTATTGAATTTAAAATCAAATTGATTATAATTAATTAGTCAAATTGTACAATTAAAAAAAATTTAATTGCTTTCAGGGATGTTCCTTCAAATTTTAATATATTTTCAAATTCATCTCGCACACGACGTTTCAGCACTAGTGTAAGAACAATTCTTCTAATGTCAATATCTGCTATGTACTATTTTTAAATTACAATTAAACAATTGTTCAATATTGAATATAAATGTAATGATTATATAATAATTAGCTTCATTAAGAATTAAAGAATTATTTGGTATTTTAATTATTTGGTATTGTAATTATTTTATCATTAACTATATTTTTATCTATCATATATTTGTTGTTTCAGAGTTCTGGAACTGTTCCTAGGCTAACGCCACGTGTAAGTCAATTGAGACAAGAAGAATGTATTGATGTTGCTGGTCGTGAGGCAGCACATGAGAAAGAAATACATAGTGCCATGCAGATCTCTCAATCCTGGGAGGATCTTACCATAGAAGCAGAAGGACTATCCTTTAAAGACTCGGAATCAACTTCATTACAATTTAAAATAGAATCAAGGCCAATTGCCAAACGAATTCTTGATCCATTGAGTATCAACTTATCTGTAAGTGGTCCAACTATATATTCTTCACCATCACCAACAAGAACTGGATTTGGTCAGAGACAGTGCTATTCACCTGGTGTACATGCAGCTACATGGAAAAATAATTTATCACCTAGTCCTACTAGAAAAGCTTTCGCTACAAGGTATGTTTATTTCTATATAATAAAATATAATTTATATATGTGGTTTTATCGATATACAATTTGTGTATTTAGACGGAGCCTAAGTCCTATTGCAATACGACCAAGTTGTTTAGCATCAGTCAAAAGAAAATTTGAATTAGATGATTCTGGAATGGATCAATTACATCCTCCTGCAAAACGTACCTCTGGTTTGTTAACTTCTGCTTCATCTAGGTAATTTTATTATTTAGAATACATTAGATTTTGAATTGATGAAATGAAATTGTAGTAATATTTATGATGTTTTCTTTTTTGATGTAGGTTGGATGTTGCAATATCTAGTCCACATCCAGGAACTATTAGCTCAGCTGGAACTCCAGAATCTTGTTCCAGTCTTGATTCTCCTGGCTTTTCTTTCCGACCCGTGCATAGCCCATCACCCGGTCCAGGTGCTCCTTCGATTATTAATGACGATCCATCTTCTTCCTCTTCGTCTTCTTCTTCATTTTCTTCGTCTTCCTCGTCTTCTTCCATTACTTCTTCTTCTACAACTATTTCGTCAGAAGGATCGAGTGTACAGGTCAAAACTTTTAAAGAAATCCAAAACACACAAACTACACGAGAAAATAATGAATAAAAGGAAGCATTTAAAAACAAACCCTGAATGAGGAACATGTACCATTGCGATGGCAAACTTATTCTTATGAACAGTAAAAGATGATTATTAGAGCAACCAATTTTATGTATTAAATTTATCTATAGACCATTTTCTCACATTTTTTGCCTATTTGCATTCTGGTCATTCCTATTTATTAATTTTCGCGTTGTGCAAATTGTCTAAATATATGTTAGTTACATCACAAATGATGCTTTCATTCTTATTAAAATGCTTATTAATATTGTCATATTGTCAAATGAAGTTGAAGCGATGAGATGCATATACAAATATATACATATATGTGTAATATGAACGCAGTTCCAAGACCAAAGCGAATTATTTAGAAAAATATGCGTGCTTCCTACCTTTAAGACTGAATTCTGCGTTTTCTAAATACATCGAATCCAAAAGTTTTTTTTTTGCTTAGAAAGGGTACATATATATGACGTTGGTTATTTTAATTTTATATGATAATTAAGCCACATCATTACAGTTATGACCCTTTTTGTCAGTGAACAACCCTGCCAATGTATCCTTTGTGCGATTCTCTTTTTCAAAATAAGTAGATAATAAATAAGCATAAGTTTAATGTGTACATCGATTGATTAATTCGCGCGTTAATAGTATTATTGATTCCATGAATCTCCAATCCTGTATAGTGTGTAAATAAATTATCTAGTATGTATGTACTTTTATTCTGTGTATACAATATTTCTCAAAATGAAATGTACAAGACAAGACAGTACTTTTTGAACAAATAAACGCAAAAGATCAAATAAAATATTTTTGTGTTTCAAAGGAATATACAATTTACTTAATCTTAATATAAAAATATGAGAGGAACAGCTAAATATAATTAGTACTTTAAATTATTACAGTAATCCGTAATTGTAAAAAATACTTAGCAAAAATATTTTAATATTGCAATGAACAAAGTACTTTAAAAAAAGTAGTATTTTTATTTATGTTTATCATTTTTTAATAAAAACATTAAAATAAAACATTTTTTAAATATTGATAAAAAAAATGTAGTATATTTAATAAATATTTAGTGACCTAAAATTTATTCCTTAGAAATTTTAAGGAATACAAAAAATTATATACTAAGACAGTATGAGCATTTTTAAGTATGCATTCAAATTATAAACTGCAAAAAGACTTTATGTTGTTTTTTTATTATTATTTCTTTTATATCAAAGATAATTATTTAAATTTTTACTTAATTTACTTCTTTTGTTAATTTTTGTACATGTTAATAAACTTTTATATTGCTCACTCAATGTTTTTTTAATATAGAAATTATTAATAGAAAATTTGAAATTCTAAACTTTTCTATGATGAGATTATAGCAAATTATATTATTTTTAGTTCACTAAAATATGTAGAGCAATATTTCAAATTTTATAGTAAGGATATTAATTATTTTAAATATAATTTTTTAAGCATTTCATCAATAATCCATTTTCAGTTAGTGTTTAATAAATGAATTTCACTTAGTAATTTTAAATCTAGATGCTTGTATAATTATAAATTATAAATAATAAGGTTTATTTAGCAATAATTCTGTTAATTACAACAGACAATTATTGTATAAACAACTGAATATACTATTTGTATTAACAGATTATAATATATAAATAATATAAATTTCGGTACATAATTATTTGTGACCATTATTAATACTTTTCGCAAGTTTATAAATAAAATTTTTCGCCTTTTATCCTCTCTTAAAAAGGGAGTTTTCATCCTTGCTAGGGATAAAATCAAAAATAAATTTTAAAAACAAGAAGTGATATAAATATAACAAAGATAATAACAACATAATATTAATTTCAATATAAAATTTCTTATTCATACAAATATGAATGAAAGTTATAAAAACATTAATAATAGTTTCAGAAAACAAAAAAATTAAGAAATCTTTTTTATATAGAATTTTTGTAATAAAAGTAATATTTTGCTATACTTTTAATTATTGAAAAGACATTAGTGATAATTTACAAAAAGGTAAAAATAACAGAAAATTCAATATACATAATGAAAGCTAATTATAACTCTAACTTAATTATGCTGAACCTATTTAATTTTATAAGATTTTTTATGTTATTGACTATTTGCCTCCAGATCCATATCCGACCACACAGCTTCAGTTTCACTTTCATCAGGTGCTTCATCATTATCAGTGTCTGGTAAACCATCACCAACATCGTAAGTTGTATCTGTTTGTTCTTCACCCACAGTCATATAATATGCTGAATCTAGTTTATTTGAAGAGTTGTCTAATCTGTGCATGCCTTCCAATGCTCTTCTATTGCTTGGATCTAGGCTAATTTAAGATGTTATATTGGTTTATATGATTTTAGTATTCTATCAATTTTTAAACAGAAACATGTGCTATATGTTATACTATACATTGTTTCTGATAAATTGTACGTATTTTATTTCTATTTATTATAATATTATTACTATTTACCATTAACAAATAAATGAATAAATAAACTTAGAAAACCTACTTTAATGCAATTGCATAATGATCCAAAGCTTTTTCCTCATTGTGAACTCTTGCCCATAGATCACCAAGCATCTGATGCAATTTACATGTTGTTTGTATCTCTACTTGTCTTTCAAGTAGTGCAATTGCAGCTTCCAAATTCATTTCTTGCTCATATATCTCAGCCAATAAATACACAGCAGGTAAATAAATTTCATCTTGAAGTAACGCCTTTTCTAAAAGATTTTTTGCTTTTCCAACAGAAACTGGATCTTTCATAAGTACTGATGCATAAAGCTATATAAAATTATTTTTAATTCATAATTAATCTTCTTAAAATATGTGTCATATTACTTGGTATATTAAGTTAAGTAAAATATTACTTATGATTTCAAATTTTATATATTAAAGTAAACTGATATAATTAATTTGTATAATTACCGTAAGAACCCTTGCAGTATGTCCAAGCTGTTTACAAGATCCACTGGCAATATTAAGAGCTTCACGCAATCTATGCATTCCTACAAGACAATCTACCAAACCTTTATGTGGTTCATAACGATATGGTTTTAATTGTACTGCATGCCTAAAGAAGAACAATGCATCTTGATATTTTTTCTGTTCTATCAGTATATTTCCTCGAAGAATTGTTGCTTCTATATCATTTGTATTTAAATTGAAAGCTTGTGCTGCCAATGTATTTGCTCTACCTAGTTTCCTAGTAGCATAAAGAGAATATGCCATAGCAACATATATTTCTCCTGTGCACTCATTGCTTGCTGTTATTATTGGGATCAGTCTTTCAAGTTCCTTAATACTATGTGTTTTGTATAATACTGCTGCATAAACATCAACCCTATTCAGTAACAACATATAATATTACAATTTTATAATAATCATGATATATTTATAAAAATCTTATTACCCTTTCATAACATCTGGTTCTATAATTCTGGCTCGTCGTAAACATAATAAGGCATTCTTATCATCTCCAGCATAATAATAGCATTCTCCCATTGTTGTTAATAAATTAAAGTTATCCCTTAGTAGATTAACATTATCTAGAGACCTTAATGTTGATACTGCATGAGTATATTCTCTATTATGTATATGTGCATGAGCTTTGATCCATGTATTCAACCAATCTAAGTTTGATAGATTGGAAGCACAACCTACAATTAATGAATTTACTTCAATCCCTTTTACTCCAAGGGATAGAAGACCTTCTGCAGCTTCTAAGGCTAATGGACATTCCTTTAAAACTTCCTTGTAAGTAGTAATAGCAGAACGTTCCATTCCTTGTTCTTGAAACATTTTTGCAAGTGCCATATTTACCTTAAAAAGATAAATATTCATCAAATTATACAAACATTAGATTATTAAACTAGATTATTAAAACTAAAATTCATAAAGATTACTTTTGGAGTTCTCTGTTTCCCAGGTATACTTTGTAACACTTGAAGTGCTTCTTGAGAATTTTTTAATTTTATTAAACATAAATGAATTTGAAATTTTATATCAACATCTGTTGGTAGATCCTTTTGACCTTCTAAAGGTTTTGTAGCACCTTTAGATTTTAATAAACATTTACGAAACTGTAAACATTTTTTATAAAGTGCTTCTGCTCTTTTATATTTTCCTAAATAAAAGTGAGCATCTGCATAATAAACATAAATGTGGAATTTTCCATGTATTGGTAATAAATCTGAGTTGTGTTCACTTAGGGATAGCACTAAATTTGCCTATAATATGGTGATAATTACATTAATTTACTAAGTTTTGTCATTATTTCAATTATGAATGAAAATGTTTTTAATTATTTATTAATTTACTTACAAGCGAAACAACATTTGAATATAAGGACTGTTCATACAGTAGTTTTATCTGGTCATACAAAGTCGACATTTTCTCTAAAATATTCTTTTAAATTACGAAGTAGTACAAATTCTATTACCAAATAATCTTCTTAACCTACGAAAAATGAATTTTAAAAAAATAATACAATCAATATATCATGTTAATATAATCATGTAATATCATGTTAAATGTAATATAAATAAATCATAAAATGTATAAATGGTATTTGTAAGTAAAATCTATACTTTCAAATGTCCAATTTGAGAAGTGACATTTAAATACAATATGTACAACTACCGCCATTTTAAAATCGAAGAAAAGCTGTCACATTAAACTATCTTATTATAATTACTGATTTAAAACGCTAATATATTAACTTCAAAAATATAATCACTGTTAATATCCTGTATTTTATATTGTTATTATTAATATATATCTTACATTTTACAAATTTTTATATCTTTAAAATTGTTTTCATATTATAATCTTTATTTTTATTTTAACATTTTAAAACTAATTTTAAGAAGTATCTTTATAAGTCCTCTTTATTATACCACCGCTTTCACAGGAATTAATTGTTAATACGTAATATATCGGATTGACTTCATGTAGATAACGTGAAATTTAATGGGTAAAAAATAATTTTAATGAAACTCAAATGTATTTTTGAATTCAGTTTTTATATTCTATTTTTCATTATTGACATAATTGTTTATATACGTTCACATATTATTTTATAAATAAGTATATATAACTTTATTTCTTCTTTATAAATAATTTATAAAAAAAATACTAATTACTTTGTTCTTATAATAATGATAAAATAACAAAATAAAAATTATAACAAGTTTTAAGAAGTAATACATAAGAGCAGTCAAATTCAATTTTATATTTCAATATCTTGTACACATATAGATATAGCCTTCTGAACTGAAATGTATTTATTATATTGTATGTTTCACAATTCTCTTAGTTTCGTTACTTATTATATGCTTATACACTAAAATCACGTTCATCCTTAAGGTACAATGAAAATTTATAAACTTCCTAACCAGAAGCATTTAACATAAAATTTTGTGTGTAATCATATTCGATTGTAGGAATTACAGATTGCACAAATTTGAGAAATATTATAAGATACATATGTACTCCCAGCTCACGACCACCTTCCATTACAGTTTCAATAATTTTTTTCATTACTTCAGCATGTCTACAATTTCATTTTAGTGAGTATCTTATACAGATAAATGTGAAGAATCATTAATTTATTTAAAATTACCTGCAAGGATGAACTGAAGCCATTAGAGGTCCAGGTATATGAGGATGTACTTCCATTGTAACAGTCTTTTTAGCATGATCTTGACTAACATCCTCATACATTTCTTGTACTGTCAAAGGCTTACAATTCTTTTATGAAAAATTATATTAAAAATTAAAATTTATTTATGTTCTATAAATAATTCTTTTTATATATTATATGTAAAATAGGTATATATACTGTTACTATTAGCATAATATAATTTGTTAAATTACAAACCTCATCATATCCTGAAAGCCATAATCGAGGTGTTTGATAATACTTATCATATGTAATATATAAATCATATGTACGCGTATGAATAATTTCTCCTTCAGAAAATGATTCCCATTTTTCCCTGGCTGGTTTTTTTGTAATTTTTGCTGTATACTATTTAATTTAAATTTAATGCAATTTTAACATTGTTTTATAAACCACAATAGCATACAGATTAATTAATTATAACATGATATTTGTTAAAAATTAAAATACCTTGTCTTGTTCATCTAGCATCCCACTGACTTCAAAAGCTTCCATATCTGCAGCATCTTCATTATCATCATCATCATCATCATCATCATCATTATCATCATTATCAGCATCATCTCCATTATTTTCTTCTGTACCAATTGATTGAGAAAGTTGTGTTTCATCTAATGTCATTTCTGTTATTCTTTCTTCAATTCCACCGATGCTTGTGTCATAATGATGTGTATCAACCCAACCACCTTCTGGATCATCGGTTTCTATAATACATTCTTGTTCCTTGCTGTATTCAATCTAAAATTCAATCTGATATTAGAAATTTATGACACCAATTCATAATTATTAATTAAAAACTTGGTTTTGTATATTTAATCATATTCATTAAGTACATACATATAATATAAAATATTATAATGATTAGTATACTTTAAGATATTAGTTAAAAGTTAAAAAATTAATACTTTTAAAACAATATAAATAATGAAAATTTACAATTGAAAATTTATTAACAATATAAACCATACATATAAAATAAGAGAAAGAAACGTTGAAGTGTAAAATTAGTAATTTTTCAAAAATCAGTAGATTTTTGTATACAAATTTAGAATAAATTATTAATTACATAATGTTTAATAGTAATACCTGTTTGCATCTGCGAGTACAAGGAACATTACGTGTCAATAAAAATTGTTTCTTTTTAGGGAGATATGACTTCATCCTATCTTCATCACCAGTAGCCCATTGCCATGTTGGGCAATGATGTACCAAATGATCACCAGCTGCCACAAACTCCTCTGGTGTTAATACCCCAGTTTCTCGAAATTTACTTTCCTTTAATAATATACATTTTATGTATATTAAATGAAATACATTTAATGAAAATAAATTAATATATTCATAAAAAATAATTTATATATATATACATGTATTACAAAATATTCTAATATAAAAAAATTTACAAAAATTAAAATTATTCCATAAATCATTTCTTATTTGTAAAAAATAATAACTGATATTATATAAAAGAAACAAAACAGGCTACAAATAGAATTAACAAAAGTAAAAAATTATAACAAAAAATAAAAGAGACTTATAAAATAAAATATAATTACTATTAGGAGGAAAGGAACTGGATATAATTATTTGAAATAATAATAATAATAAATAAATAAAATAAAGATACATAAATATATGTCAAAAGCTATAGAATTATCCTAAAAGTAATAAAAGAACAAAGGCCTATAAACAACAAAGAAAAATACATATTTTTATAAATCCATTTTATTTTAATTTGACATTTCTTTTGTTACATAGAAAACTTGTAAATTATGAATAATTTCATAATTATGTTAATAACAATATCATAAATATATATTATTTTTACATTATTTTTATATGGAAAATAATAATTTTATATATATACCTTTACATCACAATTGTATAGTTATAATAAAATATAAAAACAATTATTCAATTTAGAAATTTATTTTAAAAACCTATCATTTTTAAGTTTTGTTATGAAAATCATATAATAAATTTATTACAATTTCATGAACATATAGCAACATAATGTAAACAAATGATTAAACAGTATATAGTAGTGACATATTTTTTATACAAAATTATGTGACATATAACACATTTTATTTGCTTATTATTTTCTTAAGATATCTATTTTGAAGATATCATATTTATGTTCAAGCATACCTTCAATACAGGGGTTAAGTATTCGGCAACACCAAGCGCAGTACCTTTTACGGAATTTATGACACTCTGCATCTCTATTTCGTGAAACAGAGAACTTAAATTTATTAAAAGTGGAAAAGATCAGAGTGAATAATTGCTAAGTGCAAACATTCATATAATAACAGTTTCCAACGTATTATCGATTTAGTTGAATATGAGAGTCATATATGCGATACCAAAAAACTCCCCTTTCCATTAAGTTCCCCTACTATCTTTTACTGTTTCCCCACTTTTTGGTACATTTAAATGAGCATGCGTATAGAAATTGACAGTAATTTATAACTAAACTAGGTAAATAATTCTGTATACATAAGAAAATGTAATAAAAATATTTTAGATATTTGTATAAACTCAATAACATACGTTGTTACAGGATTATGTATATATTTTTTATAAAACTTAATATGTCTTATGTTTTTTACACCTGTATAATTCTTTACTAAATCAAGTTGAACTTTCCATAGTTTAGCGCCAATTTCAAGCAAATTCATTATTTTATATTAAAAGATATAGATAACTTTTAAATAGGACACTATTAATTTTATATTATATTTAAAAATTATATATTTTTCAAAAAATGCACCTGTAAAGAAAACAATAAAAAAATATTACATATGTATATATATCAGTTATTTATTCATTTTTCTTTATACTTTACGATTCGATTTACAATCACCATAGCAACCATTCACCTCACAAATCAAATAACAGTTTTAAGAAACGAATACAGTTGATGAGATGTTTAGTTAATGGTTTGATATTTAAAAAAATAAGCGAAGAAAGATTTTCTTATAATTAGTGGTTTACAGTAAATGTATTATAAAAAGAAAATAATAATTAAACGGTTGATTAATATTCTTTTAAGAATATCAGTATTTTGATTTCATAAAGAAATGAAACAGTACAAAATATTAAATAATTTATTATAAAAATTTATATCAATGATGGTCGAGCGTACTAAAATTTCAAATACAAATTTAGAAGATATTACAAAGGCATTGGAAGACATGGACAGTTTAGATATGGAATTATTTAATGATTCGTTTAAAAAAACAAAATCTACAAATGTCATCAAAGATTCTAATAAACAATCAGATGCAGAAATTAAAAAAAAAGTTATATTTAAAGGTGCTTTATACATTTAAAATAAACACACAACATAAACTGGTGATTTATATTTGATTATAATATTTTTATTATTAGCAAATTTATAATGCTGTTTAAACGTCAAAATTATTTTGAACCTTTTATGTAAAAGAGAAATTCAAATTTTGTAGTTCTATATAAATATATTTTATTTTTAATGCAAATAGAGTTAAATAATTACATTTTAGACCATTTAAAATGTATTCTCATTTTTTAAATTACACATTTTTGTAAATAATTATTTAAAAATCTTGATATGTAGATCCAAACGAAGATGATTTATTAACTGATTTGCTATCTGATGAAGAGACTTCTGTAAAAGAAAAGAAGAATCTTTTTGCATCTAGTAGCAAAAGTAGTTTAATGGAAGATCTTTTTAAGATAAAAAACCCAGTTACATATATGACAAGTATTAGTTCAAGTAATGAGCTAGAACATCATTTTGAGCAAAAAGAAACTAATCAATTGTTTTCTCAAAAACTAAATGGTTATTCTGCTTCTAAAAATAATTTTACTATACCACAAAGTGAATCACCTAAAGAGAAAAACAGACAAAAATTAAGAAATGTTTCTAAAAATGAAGAGGATATTTTGATAAATTTAAGTAATGTATCTGATGGAGATAAAGTAAAAAGATCATCTTTAAAAGAAAATTTATTTGAAAACCAACCTCATTCATCAAATTTTATAAATTCTATCATTCCTAAAAACATTAAAAAAACAGAGTCTGAAACTATGATACAAGAATCAAAATTGGATTCTATTGATTTATCAACTTCTAAACTTCTTACAAAAGAATTTCGTAGAGGTAGAAGGAATACAAAAATTATAAATAATCCTCTTGGTTTACTACCCACTGATGTATTGTCAGATCAAAGTCTTGAATTGGTAATTATATTTTATTTTATAGAAAAATATATAATTAAATAATATATATAATGAAATAGGGAGAATACGGTTTATATATCTCAGATAATATGAAAGAATATTCAAATAAAAATCTGAAATGATTGAATAAAAATATCAATTAATGTATAGAATAATGTTAATAGTATTTATAATTTTAAGTATATTGTTTTCATTTTTAAGGTAACAAATGAAAATATGTCAATTAAAAATGCTGTTATACAAAATACTAAGGCAGTAAAAGATTTACCAGAATGGTTGGGTGGTTCCAAAAAAATAGAAGATACAAAATCAGAAATGCAAAATGAAGAAACAGCTAAAATAGATAGAGTAGTTACTTCAAATCAAAATGTTGAAATTCACAACACAAATATTGCAGTAGATTCAAAAATACCTGGTGCAAATGATTCAGAGGGTACATCTATCTCCCCAAAACCCTTTAAACTATTGTTTGATACACAACAACTAAATCAACAAAATGCACTTATAAATATGGAACAACAAGAACATGAATTAAGAACAGCAGCACTCCTTTCTCAACAAAATGAACAACTACATAAAGTATCAAATTCTCAACATTCTATGCTATGTAATCAAGAAGAACAATTTAATGCTCTCCTAAAATTACAGTTTGAAAAACAAGTTTTATTAGAGAAACAAATAAAAATGCAGCAAGAACGAATTAATCAATACTTTCATGTAAAATATTTTGAATATAATATTGGATGCTTACAAACAGAAAATGCAAGTGAAATTAGAAACTTTTATTTTTTTATTTTTTAAGGTCTTAATGACACACTCTATGCCAATATCAAGTAGTACAACAATTCATACATGTTGTAAAACAGATTTAGACGAAGAAAGAAAGGAATTTACAAATGAAATAAAAGAAACAAAAAACATAATAAAAAAATTAGAAGGGGAAAAATCAAAATTAGAAAATGAATTATCTATTATAAAAGAAAAACATGATAATGAATTAACATTTCAAGCAGAATTTTATGAGTATGTTAATTATGTAATATATTCCATTAAATTATTTTTAAACCTTTTTAAAGTAAAATAAAATAATTTGATTTTTAGAAGACAAATGAAATTTTTAAAAGAAGTAATAATAAAATCTGAAAAAAGAGTTAAACAAGAAATAGAATATTTAGAAACAGATTATATAGCAAAACTTGAAAAACTAAAAAATGAAAAATTGCAAATGGAAAATCAATACAAGGAAGAAATTCACAATTTAAAGGTTATTTGTTTTGCATTCCATAAGTATATATATATATATATATATAATCTACTTTGATTATTATTATTTTATATCAATTTGGGTATATAATTTTACACAATTAATAATTATAGATACATTGAAATCTTTTAACATAAATAAGAATAAATTTTATATTGAATTTTCTAATTAGGATGAACATGCTCAACATATACAAGAACTTTGCAAATTACATGATGAAAATATAAAACTCCTACAAAAGGAATATAGTAATATAATAGAAAACATATCTAAAGCTAAGCAAATGGAAGATCAAATTATACAAACTATGACAACTCGTAGAACTGATATAGAAGATATATTACAGAAAGCTAGTGTGATTATTGAAGGTATGGCAGAAAACAAAAAAGTATTGGAAATTAATCACAATGAAATAATGAAACTTAAAGAAAATACTCTAAAAATACAAGAAGACAATATAAAAGGTATGTTTAATAAATTTTTAGCATTCTGTTAATGTTTTACTTTTTGCTTAATATAAATAATTCTTTGCACTAAGAAAAAAGATTTTAATTAATTACGTTTTAAATAATAGTGAAAAATGTTTTAATTGATTTGTAAATTTTTACTTATTTCATTTGGTTCTATATTTTGTAGTTATAACTATAAGTTACAAATGAATTATTTTTAACTTGCTGATAATATCAAAAATTTTATATTAAATTTAACTTTTTAATATTTAATATTTAATAATATTTACAGCACAGACACTTGAATTAAAATATCAAAATAATTCCTTAGAGGAATATCGTAATAAATTTATACAAACAACAGAAAAACTTGATATTCGTCTTACACAACTTATAATTGAACTTCAAAAACAATGTACACTGTGTAACCAAACGGAAGAAACACTTGAGAAGAGAACAATGAGTCTTTTACGAGAAAGAGAATTATTTGAAGAAAAAATGAAATGGGAAAGAGACTATATGCAGGCATAGTTAAATTATATTTCAAAATTAAGATTACTACTGCTATGTTAAAAAATTATATATATGCTGATATCAAATAATATGTATTTGTATTATAATTGTAGGCATTAAAGGAATCCTGGATAAAAGAACAAGAGAAACAATTAAAATTACTTGCAGAAGAAAAAGAAGTAATTGCAATGGAAAAAGCACAACTAGAAGTTTTGAATAAATTGAAAAATAATAATAGTGAAATTGTTAAAATAGAGGTACAAATAGTCATAGGATATTATGTCTATAAATTTTATGGTATAAAAATGAAGTATATAATTATTTAAAAAATATAAAAATTTATATATATTTTAATCATTATAGTTAGAAGCAGCTATTAAAACTGCACAGGAAGCTGCTGAATCTGCTAATCGAGAAAGATTAATATGGCAAGAAAAAATTAATGAATTAAATACTCAGAAACAAGTTCTACAAGATAATGAAAATTTACTCATTTTACGTGCCAAAGAACTTGAATATCTTACACAGGTGATATTTAGAAACATTTATTGTAATGTTATAATTAACTTTTTAATGTTAAAAGAAAATTATTACTTCATTGACAGTCTACTTTAACTAAAAGGGAGGAAGGAATAAAAGCTTTAAAAGATGCGAAACACTTGGAAGATCAAAATAAAGAAAAATTTAATCAATTACAAATACAAATTGAAGCATTAATGGAACGAGAAAAGAAGACTGCAATTGAAAAATACAATATTACAAAGTAAGTACACTTACATATTTATAGTTTGAAAATATTTTCTTTCTAAATTACATAATATATTTAATTTTTCTTTGTTCTAAGTCCTTTATTAATATTAAGTACATTTAATTTAAAGGGGTAGAATGAATTTATCTGTTTATGAAAATGAAAAACCAGAAAAGGATATAAATATGTCACATAATTTTCAAAATGATATAATATCTTTCTCTGAAATGCAATCAAAATCTGAGATCCCTACAGAATTTATGGTAAGAAAGTACATAAAAAATGTATTTATCTATTTTAATTATTTCTTTGTTTCAGAATATTATAGATCCAAACTTAATTATGTTAAAATTTAATTTTAATGATGAATTCAATTCTACTAGTAAATATATGTAATCTTTTGAAATTATTTACAAATTAGGAAGTATTACCTTATTAATGTAATAATGAAAAAATCTTTTTTTTTTTTTTTTAGTTTAAAATATAGGAGACTTCATTTAGACTTCCATATCTTCACCTACAAGTAAATAACTGTATTTTAATTAAATCAAAATAAAAAATTTTTAATTCTATGTCATGTAATTTATATAATAAATATAGTTTAAAAATTTGTAACTAATAAGATAACTAATAAATAACATTTTAACAATAAAAAGTAAAGCTAAAATACAAAACACTTTTTATAATGCAATTAAACTTACCACTATTAACTAAACAATATTCTTGCAATATATCAGCATTTTTCTGTAATGTTTGTACTTCTGTAATTAAAAAATTTATTTTATGAAGTTCATTCCCT